ATATCTGAAATTAACTTGAAATTATGTTTTAATATTTTAAACTCTCTAGAATATAATCTCTAAAATATTTCTTAAGAATTAAAATTCTAACCAACATTCTTCCTACTATAGAAAATCTTAATATCTGTTATCCATACTTGTATACTACACCAAACTGTATCTGCTATTCTAATTTAGAGAATACTCTATATTTACTTCTTTGTTCTAATAATAATATAAATCTTCAATATTCATTAACAGATATAATCACTGATACACTCTCCTCTCTAAAAATAACAACTACATTCTTACCTACAACTCTTAATATTCTTTTACAATTTATATTTAATAACTTAAATCTACTTTATAACTCTTCTTATACTATATTATTGGTATTTACTCTCTAATGGTTTATGAAAATATTAAATCACGTACAGCAAAACAAACTAAACAATTTTTAATGGTTACGGTACGATTTCCCGAACACTATTTCCCCGACATATCACTTACCCGATATTACGCAGGTGACTATTTGCTAAAAATATATATATATAACTAACAAAATGCTAACCCTAACTCTTTGTGATGCGGTTAAATAGTTTTTCGGGAAAGTGGACTTTGGGAAAGTGAGAATCAATGATTTTTAACTACTCTATCTAACAACCATTTAAACTGGTTTCACAAGGAAATATAGATGACACAAAACATCTCTCTACATTAATAGGAACAAGCCCGAAATATTACCTTCAAAACTAACTGAATTAAATATATTTACTAATGGTATTACTAAATCACACCAGTGGTGTTTAACACCACATCAATTTAACCAATAAAATTGCTGATCTGCAGTATAATGTCAAGATCAGGTGTAACGTAAAATCAAAACAAATTTTGTTTTTTTTAAAAAAAACTTTAATAACTCAAAATTTTGCTTATGAAACCACCTTTCGTGTTCTAATTAAAAAAATTTCTTGCAAAATTTTGGTATAAACTATGCCCTTGCCTCATCCCAAGCCTCAATACAAACCCTAATATTAAAGAAGTTTAATTTTTAATTTAATAAAAATTGTTTTGATCTACATATATTACTGGTGTTAAACACCATTGGTTTGATTTATAATAACTGTTTTACCAAATACTTCTTCTACACCAAATACTTCTTTATTAAATATATCTCAAATAGATTATACTTCTTTTATAGAAAAACAGTTCCTACAAGGCTTTTCTTTAACTAATTATATTTTTTAAATGCTATGATATATACTTTAGGTTTCCTCCAACCTACTCTAGCTAATTAGTTATATAATAATTAATAAGCACTTTATAGAAAATTAGGGGGTATAATGTCATATTGGGTGCCTTTTTAGTAGCACAAATATAGTTTGAAATCTTTAAATGTAGAACTCTTTTTTATTTTAATAAATAAAGTTTCAACTATGGCATTTAAAAAAAAAATAAAAATAAAAATAAAAGCATTTGGTATTTTAAGTTATATTGAGCAAATTACTGTATCATGCCTTTTGCGATATCGTGAATGCTGATCATTCAAAAGCTTTGCAGCTGGGGTAGTGTTTTCTTCTTTCTTTAAAGTTTTAAAATATGTCTAGATAATTTTAGTAATTATGGCTTCATTCTACTTCTCATTTTTTTTCTAAAGTTATTTAGAAAAATTAGATATATAATAAATTCACTTTGATTTTGTTCATAAATATTGAGTCGATGTTTCAAAGATTGATAAAATTTTTTGTTGTTTCAAGTTGGCTTTTAATATCTGAAGAAGTTAAAATAGATTTTACTTCATTCACTATTTGAATTAAACTTGTAATATTTGCAGAAAAAGTGTTTAAATTAGCTTTGTTCACTATAAAATATTTAGGTTAGGAAATGAAAATAAGTAAAATCAAAAGAATATAAAAATAAATATTGTTTGAGATTGACGCAATTACCTAATATCAAAGATTTAATTAGTATTGAATCTTATACACTTTAATCGAATTTTATAAGAATATAAAATTAATACATATGATTATACTGAAAACTTCTGATTTAATGGTATTACAACAACAAATTTTTTTTTATTTCCAGATAATTTAAACCCATCACATTTGACAAATTGACCAATAATTCTTTGAATTGGTAATATAGTTTCTATTCTTGCTCAATAAATTAATTTTCCAATAATTCAGCATAATAACTTCTATCTGCATTTGTAGATACTATGCTTTTAATATACTATTTTGTGATTTAATATAAAAGTAACTTTGTTTTTATAGATTTATCTTATATCAATCAACTATAGCAAGATAATAGCTAATCACTGTTGTTGAATTTGATAAGGATATATAATGCTTAAAAAAAACTTGATTATCCTGACTAATTAATTCTTTTACTATTATCTAGCTGCTATCATACAAGTATATTTAAATTTAAATCAGAGTGCAAAAAGAATGAACTAAATGATTCATCTCTAAGTTTGAAGGCTATTGCTTGACAGGCTGTCAAGAAAACAAGAAATGATTCTTTTGATTTTAGCAACTTGATTTTTATTATAAAAGCTGTAATTTGTATAAATATTTGAATAATATTGAACAAAAAACCTGATTATTTTAGCCAATAAGGTAATTTCATGAAAAGGTTCAATAAAATGACTAAAAAATTGTTCTGAGCCAGTTATAATATAGTTAATTAATCTACCAAACATTTCGCAAAAATCTAATACTTCTTAAACTGTAAAATTATACACAAATCGAGATTTTTTAATATAATACAGTGATTAATAGCCGATATATAAAAAACAAACAATATATAATCAGCTAGAAGATTGTTTACTAGCTAATACAATCAACAAATATCAGCCTTATATTATAAGAAGATAGTTTGATAATAAACTAAATAGTAAAAAATAAACTAAAAATAATGCCAATATAATAATATTTAATATAATCAATAAATATATAATTATGATATAAACCAATATGCTTATGATTATATATATTATTAGAAAATATTATATCAAATAATAAATTTTTATTTATAAATTAAATTATAGCAAATATATTATTTATTTATATATTTTCTAAAGATATTTATATAATTTTATTAGTTATTATTTCTAATCAGAAATATAGACTGATATATAATAATATATAAAATTAGTATAATATTTTTATTAAATATATTAGGGTATGGCGATTTAGAGTAGTAGTTAAGTTGTCACGCTCCAAGCAGTAGATCTAGAATTCGAATTCCACCGGAGATATTTTTAGAAAAATAGGTCTGTGTACTGGTAACAATTATTCAACGATTGGTTGGGTATATTATCTGTAATCTTGGTACTACCATCTCGAAATAGAAGTTCTCAGGTAATTCAAATCTAAGGAACTAGAATAGTTGAAACCTATTTAGCAAGATCTGAGTAAGGAGGTAGTGAAGATCTTTGATGATACTGCAGAAAAGTTAGAAACCGGGGATCAAAGAACTGGATGAAAAACCCTGGGGCAAGAAGGGTTCACCAACCTAGCCGTCGGAGTTGCACCAGAGGAAAAGTTCCTATACTACGGAATTAGGAACTAAGGGAAGTAAAACCAGAAGCAGGGTTGTAAATGGTAAGTTACCATCGGTAAATTACCAGGTAAATTACCGTAAGTTACCTAAACCTCTAAGTAAGTTACCAGTTTACTGTGGATTTATGATTAATTTTGACCAGCATTAAGACTCCAATATTATATATGAAAAACAAACAAGTTAATTTATAACTATAGATTGATGCAAAATAAATATATATAAGGTAGACATGCCTAATTTGACACAATTCCTAATTTGACGCAATTTCTAATTTGATGCATGATGATATCTCAACAACTATTGATTAGAATTACATAATTTTGATATCATTTGGTTCGTCTTATAGAGAAGAATCAAACAGCACCAAAATTATGCGATTCTAATTAATAGTTCTTGAGATATCACCATTTACTAAAATAATCCAAGTTGATATGCCTAATTTAACGCAGGCAAACATTTACAATAAATATCACATTGTGTATTGATCCGAATCGCACGATTTTGGTATCATTTAATTCATCGCGATTAGATGAATCAAATAGTACTAAAATTATACGATTCAGATCGATACACCATGTGATATTTAATGTAAATATTTACCTGTGTCAAATTAGGCACTACAACAAATTAGAATCATATTTTTTAAACAAACTTTAGGGTGCAATATCTTGTGATATAGTGATTAGAATTAGATAATTTTGATATCATTTGATTCATCTGGATGAAATGAATCGAATAGTGCTAAAATCGTTCAGTTATAGTTGATCTACCATATGATATTTATCATAAAATTACTTGCGTCAAAATAGGTATATCTACCTTATATATATATATGTTTTTTATGCTATATATTTATACTTTGTATAACTCTATTTGTTGTTTGTATATATGCGTATACGATACAGCAATAAAGTAAATTCCAAATAAGCTCATAAGTGTGATTAACATTATTTTTGATATGCAAGCAATTTTTTAGAAATAATAAAATTTATTCATTACCTCTAAGCTACAATATTTTTGCATACATTGATTATAAATAAATAATTAGCAAGTACTTGGATCATAATAATATATAATAAGTGCAATTGGAAGATATATAATAAATTGTAGAGATATTCATATCTATAATTTGTTTATATAATAGAATCTGTTTCTATTAACAAAATATGATTAGTTTGAAATATAATCGTTGTTTTGTATTCTTAAAATAAATAAACTATCTTTAAGATTATATCAATATGAAAAATATAATTACGAATAATTCAAAGCAATACTATTTTTTAACACTATTTTAAGTAGTTTTTTTGATTTAAATTTATTAGCTTAATTCCAGTCTCTAATATGCAGATGATTCACTTCATTTTTTTAAATTCGCAAGCAATTCTAGTAAGTTAACTTCATAATGGATAACTCAAATATTTTAACAAATTCAAGCTAAAATAGCATATACTTACATATTATATTTCATCAAATTCTAATTCATCGTTATTCATAACTTCACTGTTTTCTAATTCATCATCAAAAAATAAGAAAGCTGATTCATTTTCTTCAAATAAATCATCATCATTACTATTAATAGTTGCCATAGTTGTATTTAAGTCTGTATTTGAAGTAGTTGAATTAATACTTGATTCCATATTTTGAATAGTTAAGTTATTATTTTTTGATTCGGCTTCTTTTTCTTGTTCATTTAGTTGTTTAAGAATTTTCATATTCCAATAAAGATAAACACATTTTTCTACCTTGGTATCCTCTAATCGATTACGTAATTTGTTATGAATAAATCCAAAAGTAGACCAATTACGTTCACTGCTGCTGAAGTTAATGGAATAGATAAAACTCTACGTGCAATGCTACTTAATATAGGGTATCGACGTCCAACTAGTATCCACCAGTTAATTGGTTTTATTGTTATATTTTCCCATAAATGATTACTTGAAAATCTACCTAATTTTTCTAAATATTCTGCATACTCATTTAAAACTTGTTCATGCTTATCTTCAGGTGTTAATCGTAAAATTTCACGTTCAATAACTTCATCCCACTTATCAACATCTAAAATTTTTCCACGATAACGTGGATCAAGTTGATATGCTAAAATAATCGCTGGATTATATAAAAATTTATCCCATCTATGTTGTCCAAATTTACATACTTGATTTTTAAATTCTTGTAAAATATTAATATTTTCAATTACTGCTTGATCTAATCGTTTTAACTCCATATATGCTGTTGAAATTATAGTTTGATCTGATTGAAGCTTATTAATAAATATAACAAATGGTTCAAGAAAATTACATAAAATTTTTATATCTTTCCAGAATTCAGTATCAATGATATAAAGCTGAATTTCTGAAGATATATTAAATTTATCTTCATAAAGAAGATTTTGAACCGCTGCTTTTGTTTTAATTAAATTATATAAACAATAATAGGCAGATCCCCACCGAGTTTCAACTGGTAACAATAATGCTATATGAGTATTATACTTTTCTTTTTGTAATTGACGTAATGCTGAAAGTAAGACTTGATGTGAACGAAAATAGTTAATAATCTTTTTGGATTTTTGTAATAGCTCACTTGGCCACTCTAATTCAAGTATATCTTTAAGCCATAAATTAACTCCGTGTGCCCAACAACCAAGAAAGATCTATAATTTAAAAATATTAATAGTTAAATTATTAAATAGCCAATAAACTAAAGTAATATTATATTTACTTTTTGTGAATATTTTTTTGCAAGTATTGTCCATGCACCTTTCATATTTGACGCATTATCAGTTACAATTGCAACTACTTTTTGTACACCAATATCTTGAATTATTTCATCAATGCTAGTTGCAATATTTTGAGCCGTATGTCGACTTTCATATGTTGGTACAGATTTATAAAAAATTGGATTTGGGACTGTAACCATATAATTAATAATACTTGTACGATTTATATTTGACCATCCATCAGTAGTTATAGAAACATACTGCTGATTTTCTAATATTTTATTTATATCAGAGCGTGTTGTATTATACTTAGATTCTAAAATTGGATTTGATAGCTCATATCGTGAAGGAATCTTGAAAGAAGGAATAGCTTTATTGATAAACTTGCGAAAGTCTTCATTTTCTATAATATTAAAAGCTATTCCTGTTGAATAAAATGCACGCGCTAATAATTTTTCAAGCTCTTCTTGATCTGAATTACTAATTTTATAAGTAAAATTATCTAATGTAGTTTGAATATTTTTTTTATAGATTGTATTTGTTGAACTTGTAGTTATTCCTTATTCATTAAGATATGCCTGATATTTTATACATGTTTCTAAATGATCTTGTTGTCGTGTGGCATTTTTACTATATGTTTTTTTGCAGTGTTTGCACTGATATTGTTCAGTATTACTTTTAGAATCATCGATTAACAAATATTCATTCCAGAAATTACCACTTTTTCGTGGCATTGTGATAGTATCAAATTATAACCAAAATTTTATTAGAATAAAAATGCTTTTAAATATCGTTAAATATTTGTACAAGATCAATAATTACTTATACGTATTTATATATTGTTGCGGGCAAAATGGTCACAACCACACACCCACAAAAACCAAAAAGAAGTGACAATATTGTCACTAAAAAGTCAGTTATGCCGTGTAATGTTACTCAACGTATTTAGAGGCGGAACGATTTAGCACAGGTCTAAGGCAAGGGTCGAGTAAGGTTACAGATATGGAATTTTACAGGGAAAAGATCAAGTAATGTTTATGATAACGACTTTTTATTATATTTATTATGCATACGGCCCATTTTACTAGAGTCAAGTCTACCTCTATTTATAAGAATTTCACACAGAAGAAAGAGGAAGAATTTCGAACACCCTCTTATCAATCCATCACTTTCCTTCTATTGAATGCAAGCCATTATTCCCTTTTCGTTCAACTCATTCTCTTCCAGCTTCACAGCCTTCGTCATTCAAGCCCTTAGAACAAGAGCTGGAATCCGGAACCGAAGGTGAGTGTTTACGCCAATTTTCATTTACTTGCGCAGAGGCTTCAAGCCTTATTTCTCCTTTTTACTAACTTATTACCCTCCAGCTTCACAGCCTTCATTCTTCGATTATCGTTTGGCGTCCAAATCGCTTCCAACGAACGTTCTCAGCTGCAAAAAATCATGCGGATGCATGATTTAGCTTGTACATAGCCACAAGCTATTCTAAAGAAGGCAGTATTAACCCATTGAGTTATTTTAGCTTGCATTTCTGTCAATCGGGTTAATGTCGATCGCTTTACCGTTTTAGGTCCACCAATGGTAATTGTTCAGGGTGGCTTAGCGATTATAACATCGATCCTATGCAGCTTCGATTCGGGGGCTTAGTTGTCGTTTATTTCGGGCATTTCTTAGAGGTTTGCCGTTAACAATATAAACAAATAATTATAATATTTATTTTTATTTGATTGGTTTGTATATAATTTTTTTAAGAAGTTTATTCATGGCAACAAGCTAATCTAAAGTAAGTATTTCATTTAATCAAAAACATAGCATAGTGAGATTAAAAAATTGATATAAAAAATTTATTGTACGTAACATGGGTGTTATTGATTAATTATCTTATTGATATTTGACATAGTTTATCATACTGAGTAAGTCGTTACAAATACCCATGTTACAATTAGTTTTTTGTACCTTTTTTTTTAATCTCACGAGTCTGTATTACACTTAATAATCATTATCGACTTTCTAAATTTGCGATCAAGAAATCTAATTAGATTTTAATTATTGCTATATTTAGAAGGTAATTGTATTTGATTCTAAAATCACTACATCAAATTATCTTGTTACTAAACTAGTTATATTACGTAGATGCAAATATTACTGTATTGTTGCTTAATGTTTGGTCTTTTTTTAATTTAAAGAAAAAAAATATATATACAATGATAATAATATTAATAATACGTACCTGATACTAATTGTTTAATGAAATTTAACTTTATTACTGTAGTGAACTGACCAAAGTACCCCTTTTTAATATCCTCCCTTGCAAAATACCACGAAACCTTTATTAATTAAATATAGATTTTTAGACTGCTTACTATAAGTGCAGAATATATATATACTTGAAATTTTTTTTTGCGATACTAACCCGCTGCTGAATAATATATCTGAGTCTTTTGTTAAATTTTTTGTTGGATATTTTGTATTAGACCCTGGGTCTTTTAGTCAGTACACTACGGTATTTTTAACCAATTAAAATTTTTTATATATCACATGATATATTTTAACCAATTAAAATTTTTTATTTTTCAAGGTAATTTACCTGGTAATTTACCAATATTTTGGGTAACTTACCAAAAATTTTATAAATTACGGTAATTTTACAACCCTGACCAGAAGGCACTTAAAGCCTAGATACAACGATTTGTCCAGGCTAACTGGTTTGGTAGTTGGAAAGGGATCGGTATAAGGACCGGCTTGATGTAGGTATTAGGATCGGAATAAACCTTGCAAGAGCATCGGATACTGGAATTGTGTAGTTTAATGGTTCACCCTAATTGCTAGTGGTGGTTTCAGCTGCTATGGAAGGTATTCGTAACCTAATCTGGAAGTGCATAGGATATAGAAAGATTAGAAGGATATATACTACACCTCTCTAGAGCAACCTGGTAGTATGAAAACCCTACTGGGTTATCTATAGAATTAAAATACAAGTAGTATAGCAGATGTTAATCTGGGTGATCTTCAATAAGAAGCAGCACGAGGTTATATGCTGACGTGATTGTAGTGAATGATATAGGATGGGGACATCAGAGAGTTTAAATAGATAATTCAAATAATAGTAGATTACAAGTACAGCATCTAGTGTAAATCCTAGTAATAAGTAGCTACTTAATTAGGCATTCAAAAGACGCAGATATAGCTAGAATGTATTTTCGTTAACCAATAATGTACTATCTAAAATACCTAATAAAAATCTACCTTCACACAACATTGTGAAGGTTAAAAAAAAAATATAAGATAATTAGCTAATGAATATAATCAATATAATATCTGTTTAATATTTGTCTAATATTATATACCAATATAATAATAATATATTAAATTTAAAAAAAATATAAATATATATAATATAAATATTACTATATCTGCTTTATATCAATAGGATGATATTTTGAAGATATATAAAATTTAAAAATTTAAACTAAAATAATATATATAAAAATAAATAAATAAAATCAAGATAAGATAATTGCTAATTAATTAATTAGCAATTATCTTATCTTGATTTTATTTATTTATTTTTATATATATTATTTTAGTTTAAATTTTTAAATTTTATATATCTTCAAAATATCATCCTATTGATATAAAGCAGATATAGTAATATTTATATTATATATATTTATATTTTTTTTAAATTTAATATATTATTATTATATTGGTATATAATATTAGACAAATATTAAACAGATATTTATATTGCTTTTATTTATTGGCTAATTATCTTATATCTAATTTTATAATATCATTTTTTTATTATTCTATTATATTAAAAAATTTTGCTATGTATATCTTCCTTAATATTATATATATTATAACAATATCTGTTTATAAAAATAGAATACTAAACAAATCATCAAAATATCAGCTTAAATTAAATTTAATAAAATAAATTTATACTGATATAATTATAATATAATATATTTAATAAAAATAGTATACTGATTTTATATATCATTATATATCAGCCTATATTTTTGATTAAAAATAATAACTAATAAAATTATATAAATATCTTTAGAAAATATATAATATCATATATATCGGTATAAATAAATAATATATCTGCTATAATTTGATTTATAAATAAAAATTTATTATTTGATATAATATTTTCTAATAATATATATAATCATAGGCATATCAGTTTATATTATAATTATATATTTATTGATTATATTAAATATTATTATATCAGCTTTATTTTTAGTTTATTTTTTAATATTTAGTTTATCATCAAGCTAGCTTCTTATAATATAAGGCTGATATTTGTATGATTGTATTAGTTAGTAAACAATTTTCTAGCCAATTATATATTATTTGTTTTTTTATATATCAGCTATTAATTGCTTTATTATATTAAAAAATTTTGACTTGTGTTAATTAAATGCTTGTATGAGAAATTGCCAGTAATGAAAATATTATTAATCAGAAAACCAGAATTATATAATAGCTCAACATATATAATATATGAAAAAGATAAAGAAGAAGACTAGAATCACTTAACAACATATAAGAAGCATGAAATAAAATGGAAAAAATCAACGCAGCTAGCTTCGAACTTGGCCTAAACAGCTTTATTAGAAAAAACTCATAGTCATCTTGACAAAGTACAACTCAGGAGAACTTTGTGAAGTGCATCAAAAGAAGAAAAAAATGAAACCAAAGCTGATGTACTCAAAGAATTGATTAAAGAAGAGGTTGTAAAAAAAATCATTGAAGTGATAGAGAGCCTAAAAAAACTTAGAAGTTATCTAAATATAATGATCAATTCAGCTTAGAATTATTTTTACAAAACTATTTAAAAATCAAGATGTGCTTACATAAATGACTAAGAAAAGAAGAAAGGAATAGATCTAAAGAAAAGAAATGAAAAAATTCTATTTCAGAGAAGCTGAATCTTAGTATTAAAGAGAAAGATTCAATTCTAGTAGGAAGAAATCGTCAAAATTAAACTAAAGGAAATTTAAAAAAAAAGAAAATGATAAGAGCAAAAAAGAGGAAGTAAAGCAAAAAGAAAATACTTAGTTTGAAGCTATTAAAAATTTTATTAAAAATAAAACAAAGTCATTTTGATATAGTTTATAGGCTAGTTTAGTTCAGCTTTCTGATGCAGACAAAATGCTTTATCTAGTAAGACAGACTATCTCTAGACACTCAATAAGGTAGTAGAGAAATATTGGATTTATAATTTTTTTTTTTTTTTTTTTAAAGAATGAGACCTGATCTCAGTTTTTTTTTATTGATAACATTGGATCTATAATTTAAATAGTTAAATATATATATATATACAATGCTACTAAAATGCATCTATGGTGTTAAACACTATAATTAGCTATATCTCAAAAACATACTAGCTAACACCTCTTTGGGGTACTAAGTAAAAATGTTCAAAACCCCCCAAAACCTTATACTAACTAAAATTTGCACCTTTATATCTGACTCCTATCTTACTCTAAAGTTGCGCATTAACTCTAAATTTTAGCTAAAAACTTATTAACACCATAAACACCATGGTGCATTTTATATTATTTATATATATATATACTTTAATTTAATAAAGATACTGGTGAGTTTGCTAATAAAAAAAAAAAATTGTGATATACCTATAAGATCTGATATATATATATGCTACTGAAATAGGTTTTCAAAAAATCACTATTTTATCTCCATTAAAGCAATTTAGAATTTTTTATATGCAAGAGCAAATTTAATTTAGATAGTTATATTCTTTATAATTTTGTCTCTTCAAAAAAAGTATCAAAAAATTTCATCTTTTAAGTAAAATAGATCAAAAACAATTTCATCTTAAATTTTAATTTCATACCCTAAAATTTAAAATAATTTTGTTGTTATGTATAATCTGATATAATATAAAATTAAAACAAACTAGTAATGCATTAATTTAGCATAAGGATTAACATTAATGTAAGGTTAGATTAGATTGTAGATAAATGTTAATTATATCTAAAATTTTAAAGAAATTTTTTTGTTAGAATGCAAAAGATATCTTTATAAGCAAAATTATAAATTATATACAATTTTTTCAAAACATTACTACTTTTTTGATTTTATATTACACCTGATCTTACAATTTAATTGGTCAATTAGGTGGATGCATTATAACTCATATGTATTAAATTACTAGAAACTAGAAACTGGTATAAGTCTGGAGCTTAATTTAATAAATTTATTATTTAAAAAATCTTATTATATATATTATAAATTAAAATTTTTAAAGATATTATATTCAGAAAATATTAAAATTATATTTTTAATATTGTTATTATAGATATATTAAAGATATAATTTAGTTATTAAAAGCTATAAAAGTATAATTTTGTTGTTTTGCTCTAAACAATAATTAATAAAAAATAAAATAAAAAATAAAATAAAAAATAAAAAGAAAAATAAAATAAAAAATTAAATAAAAAAATAAAATTAAAAATTAAAAAAATAAATAAATAAAAATAAAAAAAATAAAAAAAAATAATAAATAAAAAAATAAAGGTTTAAGTTTTTCGTGCACCTGCATAGTCATACACTCCGTGATCTATTAATCAAAAATATTTATGTGATCAAAGTGATGAACAGTCAGTCCCAACTGTCAACTAATCGACCTGCTGACCTGCCAACCAATCAAATTATAAAATTATAATACTAATATAATCAAAGGAAAAAGTTCGTCTAATTAGCTAATTTTTATAGATCTACTCATGATCACCTGTAATAATTAACCAAGCAAATTACATAATTTTAAAGAATTTGTTATTAAAATACTACTAGAAAACAAATAAAACTTAGTATAAAGAAGCTCATAAATTAATAAATATGCAAAATAATTAATTTATTTCAAATATATAGAAGATAGATCAATATATATAAAGCAAAGTAAAGGTAGTATTCATTATTAATAAACCCAAACTCATTAATACAATCTACATTCTGTAAA